ACACACACACACACACACACACACGTTACAGATATGCATCTTTTGTACGTTCATACTTACGTCCTTTTCATTCATTGTTGTGTCCTGGTTGGTCTCCTCTGACGTCGGTGGCCTAGTGGTTGGGCTCTCGGACTCGCAACCGTAAGGTCGTGGGTTCGAATCCCGTCAGGGGCCCGACGTTGTGTCCTTGAAAAAGGCACTTTACACGAATTTTTCTCACTTCACCCAGGTGGGATTAGGTACTCGGCTATAGACAGCGAAAGAGCTTATCAGTTTGTTAGTGTTTGAGCGCTTACTCAGCTGCTTGCAGTGTATGCTTCCCGGGAAGTTGAGAATGTTTCGGAGTGTTCTATGGTCTGCTGGGGTAATAATATAGTGTAAAGCGCATAGAGCCTGCTGTTGAGCGGGGATATGCGCTATACAAAAGCTATTAATTATTATTATTATTATTATTATTATTATTATTATTATTATTATTATTATTATTATTATTATTATTATTATTCTGACCAGACCTTGAGTTGTGTGTAGTTGCCTCACACTTGGTCACTCAACGAGAATCGACCTTTGTATGCTGTGGTCTCTCTATATATCTCTTTATCCTAGTGGTGGATTTTTACCCTTTACTTCACCCAATAAAACTCCCGGAAGAGGCTTGATAAGGAGATCTGCTTGGCGCTCTGAGGAATAAAAAAAACGAAATAAAATACATAAGATAAAGTTATATATTATTGAACGTCTGTTTGCGTTTGTGAGTATAACATTTTATTTTTTAAAAATTTTAATATATATATAATTATGTGTGTATGTGTGTGTGTGTGTGTGTGTGTGTGTGTGTGTATGTGTGTGTGTGTGCGTGTGTGTGTGTTTGTGTGTGTTGGTGTGTGTGTGAGAGAGGGGGTGTGATACAAAATCCGGTAAGCGACATTTTGGAAAAAAATCGATATTTGTTGCCTGTAAATGTAAATGCACACTGTTACAGGCAATCAAATGCACAGTGTTTTTTCAACCAAAACCCCCCAAAAATCCTTCATAAAAGCCATCAAAAAAACTTTCTACGCAAAACCTGATACATCCAAAATCGTAATTTTCCTGAACTTAATACATCCTAAAATTTTCTTTATCGGCTAAGGAAAAGTTCAGTTCCTGTCATGTGACTTCCTCTTCAGAAGGGTGTCGACGAGCGTAAGCCGTGGTTTGTCCTGCCCAAACACCTCATTTAATACGTTTAACAATAATTTAATAATATTAATTTGATTATGAAAAGTTAATGCTTTATTAATTCATCCATTTGCAAGCACTGCGACAGAATCTGCGCTTCAAACATAGGAAGAATTAGCCATGAAAGAAGCTGCATGAAGACAACCTTGAGACCATCTTAAGCTAAATTGACCGTCTGCATAGACGAAAAGAGCCAAACTAATTCATTCATTATGAAAATGTATGTTTGTGTTTGTCTGTAATTAGAGCAAAAGAGTGAGTGACTTAAGGCATCAACTGACTTTTTTTTCGGGATGTAGCTGGCGCGTAGAACCATTTTTAAAAGCTGATTTTCTCAAAAGTGCTAAAATGGATGGAGCGGGTGTTGCATCTCAGCACCTCATACATATTTAGAGGCGTTTCTTTGTAGAATGCAACGCACAAAACAACAGTACAATCGAACCTGTTATAACGACCGCCCGTTCAAGACAATCACTTGTAAACATCACCCCCCCCCCTCCCCCAATGTACCTTATTATTATTATTATTGTTATTATTATTATTATTATTATTATTATTATTAATATTACTATTATTATTATTATTATTATTATTATTATTATTATCATTATTATTATACCCCCCGGGGCAGTGCCACTGACAGAGGTGTCTTTATGCCATTCTCAAAGGGGGGACATTTTATCGTTCATGCACAGTAGAATTGTAAATGGGCTGATTCATCAACGTCACGCTCATAACTGTGCCTGATCTACAACAGGGAACTGCTGCTTTTTCTTTACTAATCCTTACTATTTTCATTTTTTCTCCACTTCTTTTGTATGTTTGTCACACTCTTGTGACCCACTATTTCCGGGGGGCCTTGATAGTCGAAGCAGAGTTTGTGCTGTTGAGGCTAGAGAGGTGGGCAGAATAAGTCTGATTCCCTGTAAGGACTTCTCTATTGACATCCACCCCCTGACCTCATATGACTTTATGCAGTTGTGAGCGCCGTAAAACCCCAAATAAAACTTTTTTTAAACTATTATTATTATTATTATTATTATTATAATTATTATTATTATTATTATTATTATTATTATTATTATTATTATTATTATTATTATTATTATTATTATCATGTAAATTTATGCTCACCGTAAAAAGACAGTGTGAATAGAAATGAAACATTGCACTTACAAAACAATTTTCATCATCATTACTATTAGTACATGTATTACTATTATAGTCATATTCATCATACTCACTCGCGCTGTGAGTCGTTGAGTTGGAGACGATTATGTTACCGACCATGTGTATACTGTCTTCAACTCCGTCTGAGAGAGGCGCTAAGAGACACATTTGTAGAAACCCCCTCCTTTCCAACCTCCTCCCCCCCCCCCCCTGCCAGTCCGCCGCGCCCTTTCCGGACTAAATATGCTAAAAACGTGTTGATATAAGCGAAATCCGGTTACCATCATTTACAGTCGAAGCAATAGCCGCCGTATGACAAGGAACCCGCATTAGAGGGGCCGCACCTTCTTTGGTACAATAGGGCAGAAATACAAAAACACCAAAAAAAACACATAAAATCAAACTCAAATCCCACTTTCTTTCGTCAGCGTCATGGGTGGCCTCTTGACACCTATCCCCCCCTCCCCCCTCCCCCCCCTCCTCCTTTCCCTGAAATCTCTCTGTTCCCTCCACCCACACCAACTCACAGGATTCAAGGATTCGTTATTCTACATTAATGGATCATTTGACATGCTAATTTCGGACTGAATATTGGCCCCAAAAACAGTCATGAGCGCCACATACTCGGACTTCAAGAAGTAAAGCATTGATCAATCTTTATTAACAAGCAAGCTGTTAGCTCAGTTGGTATCATGCTGGACAACAGTGCAAATGGCCCTAATTCGAATCCCAAACTGAGCAATCTGAACTGTAGTTAGTTTGGGGAGTTTTTAAAACCCATTTCTCAGTACTACTGAAGGTCACCTTATAGCAGAGTGTAGAAAGAGGCGTTAAACTTATACAATTTCGGTACAGTCTGTTTCGACTAAACGGAAATAAAGAATTCTGTGCGTGTGTGCTCCATGCTGTCGCTTTTACAGACTCGGAACTTGCACGCACCGTATAAAAGTAAGCAGTGCTAGCTGGCTTACTCAGTCAGTTGGGTAGGTAGGATCGGGTTAGTCGGGTCGGACACATGAACTGGCTCAACAAGACACATGGTGCGTGTCCTGGTCGATACGAGCGTCGCTTTAAAAGATATCACTACCTGTAAGTGTTTTACGCCCCCATTGACCTAATTTAGATCATTAAATTAGGGAACGGGCTTCAGCCCTGCCTGTCAGGGCCAACCCGGGTTGAGAAAGACCGGAATACTGGATTAATACTTCTCCCCACATGGGAATGGAACTCGGTCGCCCCGCGTTCATATAACCGTAATCAGTTGCGAGTGCCCTAAACCACTTATTTTTAAAAAAGAACTCAGCCAGTCTTGCTTCAACATTTGACAAAGAAACGCCAAAGTTCTTCCCCACAGATGCCGGTACTTCTTCCTTTGCTCGTACATGTGAGGCAGCGTGGTGGAATCAGGCTCTCGTCAAAATAATCAAAGCGAAGAAACTTGCATTTTTCCGCAGGTTTGTGAATTTTATTTTTGTTTTGTTTTTTGGCTTAACAACTTTCTTGCACAATAAAGAACTCATTCCTGTGTAGATTTTTCTGAAAAACGTTGATTAAAGGCACAAAAATATAAATTTTCAGTTACCATGGACTCTTAAGCTAAGGAAACAACTAATCTTTGGCGGCCATTTTCTCCCTAATTTTACTTCTGAAAACATGTGACCCCCATCTCCTTCTTTCGCAAATATCTCAACTTGTATTCAAGATAAATTGATATTTATTCATCCGAATAAAGACAAGTGAACAAGCTTTAAGATGATATCAATAGCTCTACATACTCAAAAATTGACGAGAGCCTGATTCCACCACGCTGCATTACAAATGTTCTGACACGGATGTATTCTCTGGTTGTCTCTCCTCGTTGTCTGGGTGTTGCATGTCTCATTCAAATGCGGCGCAGAAAACAACAATACTGTCAAATTTGCTGTAACGACCACCCTTTCAAGACAATCACCTGTAAGAATCAACACTCCGCCCCCCCCCCCTTTTTTTCCTGTGGGTGGTGGTTGGCCGGTGCTCTGGTGTGGTTTGCTTCTTCTTTCCTATGAAACATCTATCGTCCTTATCTCCCCTTCTTCTTTTTTATGTTTGTTGCTCTCTTTTAACATCTCTAATCTTCTGGCGCTCATATGATCTTATGCAGTTGCGAGTGCCGTAAAACCTCTACTAAAACTACTAAAACTAAAAGAAACCTTTCTTGTGCGTGTGTATACAATAATGATGCTGTGCAACACATCCAACTGTCTAAGACAACCGCTTTTCGTCGAGACAAGGGGTGGCCATCTTGGACAATATCTCGACTGTATTCGGTTTTGAACTATGCCGTAAGCTTGTGCAGAAATCAGCAGAGTTGAGAGAAGACTTACGTAAAGCAGTCAAGGAAGAATAGGGCGGATAGCGGTTCCCACACTCTAGGTAGATTGAAGGAGAAGGGGATCCAAAGAGGAGAGGGGAAACACAGCCATCTGTGCGGACCAGTCCGACGGATCTCCAACCAGATTATGATGGAGACTATAAGCAGGCAGACTCTGGGATGGATCCTGAAGAGGTGGGGGGAGCAGAGATGGACATGTTCCGACTGCAGTGACCCCAACACAGTGGACAAGTAAGTAAGTGCAGCGCTTGTGTGTGTTCTGCTAAATTTGACACTGGCTGTAATTATCAAGTTGGTTAAATTATATGTTCTGTGACTTGACAAGCGCGCCTATTCCAACGCATTTACTTTACGATTTTACCACCTCTCTAACACATGAAAAATGTACTCCAATATAAAGCATTTAATTTTCATTTAAGAATCGTAATAATAATAATAATAATAGTAATCATCATCATCATCACTATCATCATCATAGTAATATCATTTATAATAATAATGATAATAATAATAATAATAATAATAATAATAATAATAATAATAATAATAAATAATAATAATAATAATAATGATGATGATGATGATGATGATGATGATGATGATGATGATGATGTGGCCGAGTGTAGTCCGAATAAGGTCAACCTTTTCTGTATGGCAACTTGTACTTCTGCTCTCAATATTGATAGTCCATTTATTTATTTATTTATTTATTTATTTATTTATTTATTTATTTATTTATTTATTACTACCAGTTGTTCTTCCCTACTATCTTTGAAAAGTTTTTCTATGCATTCTCACCATCTGTTTAAAACAATACCTTTGACCATTAAAATATCTCCTTTTAAAAAAAAAAATCTAATGCGCACAGTGTTTGAGTATTCATTTATTCCATTACTTCTTTGATTGTGAAATCCATGT